CTGGGAGGGTGGGGGGGGGGGACACATGAAGGGCATGGGGACGAGGGGGTGCTGGGGACGTGGGAGGGTGTAAGGGGGCCTTGGGGACAGTGGAGTGGGTGTAGGGGACACCTGGGGACATGGGAGGGCATAAGGGGGGCACCTGGGTACAGTGGGTGGGCATAGGGGACACGTGGGGACATGGATGAGTGTAGGGGGACACCTGGGGACAGTGGGGTGTGCGTAGGGGGCACTTGTGGGCAGGGGTGGGTGTAGGGGGACACCTGGGGACAGTGGGGTGGACAAGGAGGGGCAGCTGGGGACAGGGGGGTGTGGGGGTAGGGGACACCTGGCAACATTGGGTGGGCACGAGGCACACTGGGACAGTGGCATGGGCCTGGATGGACACCTGGGGACATCAGGGTGGGCAAGGGGGACAGATGGGAACGTTGGGTGGGCGCAGGGGAACACAGGAAGACGTGGAGGTGGGTGTAGGGGACACATGGGGACAGTGGGGCTGGAGGGTACATGTGGGGACAATGATGGCTATAGGGGTGACATGGGTACACGGGGGTGGCTGTAGGGGACGCATGGGGGCACCAGGGTGTGTAAAGGGGGATAGACGTGACGCAGGGATGGGCACAAGGGATGCTTTGGGACAGCAGGCTGTGTCTGGGAGGTGAGGGGGGCTGAGAGGTGTCCCAGCCCGTCCCTGTGTCCCCAGATCATCCAGACCTACACCGAGGCCGTGCGCACCGTGGACCCGCAGCGCGCGACGGGACGTCCCCACGGGCTCTGGGTGGCCTTCGCGCGCTTCTACGAGGACAACGGGCAGCTGGACGATGTGAGCAAGACACTGTCCCCATCCTGGGACAGCCCCTGTCCCCTGCTGTGCCCAAACCACGGCTGTCCCCTTCAGATCCTCCTCCCTAGTGTCCCCAAACGCTGACTTGTCACTGTGTGCCCAAACCTGACTGGCCCCCAGACTCTGAGCGTCCTCTGACTGTCCCCAACCCCTGAAACACTGTCCCCCCTAGTGTCCCCAAACCCTGAATGTCCCTATGTCCCCAACACCTTACTGGCCCTCAGACCCTGAATGGTCCCTGTGTCCCTCAACCCCTGACCGTCCCCCTCAAACACTGTCCCCCCTAGTGTCCCCAAACCCTGACTTGTCACCATGAACCCTAACCAGACTGACCCCCAGACCCTGAGTGTCCCCTGGCTGTCCCCCTCAAACACTGTCCCTTGTAGTGTCCCCAACCCCTGACTCGCCCTCTGTGCCCAACCCCTGGTGTCCCTGTCCCCAGGCGGACACCCTTCTGACCAGGGCCATAGTCCCTAATCCCTGGCTTTCCCTGGTTCTGTCCCCAGGCCTATGCCATCCTTACTAGGGCCATTGTCCCCAACCCCTGGCTGTCCCCTGACTGTCCCCAACCTGCTGTACCTGTCCCCAGGCCCGTGCCATCCTGACCCGTGCCACGCGGGTTCGGTTCCGGCGGGTGGAGGACCTGGCTGCCATCTGGTGTGAGTTTGGGGAGATGGAGCTGAGGCACCACAACTACAGCCAGGCCCTGGGCGTGCTGAGGGTGAGGGGTGCACAGCCTGGGCTGGGGGGCTGCGGGTGAGGGGGGCACAGCTGGTTCACCTAATGGGACCCCCCAGCGGGGGAGGGGGGCTGAGGGTAAGGGGGGGCACCTGGGTCCCCTAATTTGGTACCTGGGTCTCCTGATGTGGCACCTGGGTTTGGAGAAGGGTCACCCAGGTACCCAAGAGGGTCATATGGGTCTTCTGATGTGTTACCTGGGTCTCCAAAATGGTCACCTGCGTCCCCAAAAGGGGCACCTGGGTCCCCTAACATCACACCTGGGTTCAGTGACTTCTGTGTCCCATAATACACATTGGGAGAGGACAAAGGGAGGTGGGGGCAGCTGGGTGCTGAGGGTGGGGGAGTATGTGGGTACCCTGGGGACACTGTTGACCTCCCTGTGTCCTGCTCCCCCCAGAAAGCCACGGCACTCCCTGCCCGTCGGGCCGAGTACTTCGACGCTTCGGAGCCTGTGCAGAACCGGCTCTACAAGAGCCTCAAGGTCTGGTCCATGTTGGCCGACCTGGAGGAGAGTTTGGGCACCTTCCAGGTGAGACCCCC